CTTGCCCTGTGTTGATTGGCCAACTGGTTGTTATGGCCCATAGGCACTCCCAGGGTGGTTGCTATGCTTTGTGTGTCATTGCTGTGCGCTTGTCTGTAAAGCACACCCAGGGTCGTAAAGCATAGTGCTACCAGCTAACTTCTGATTGGTTCCTTGTCACGAGTCAGGCATTTGACTTTCTAGTGTCTAGGACAAGGTCATAGAAGCACGTGTTCGGCCGTTATGGCTGCCAAAAGGGAAGCTGGTCCCTTCAGTCTCTTTTGTGAGAACCTGGAGCTCAAAAGCTGCTTGAGGAAGATTGGGGCAACAAACCCTGCTGGGCCTGATTATTGAGAGCAGCCAGAGAAATAATTAGGAGTTTTTTCTACTCTTCATATGAACAATGATGACAGAAAAGGACAAGAAGAGAGAAAGAGAGAGACAGAGAGGGGGAGAAGGAGGAAGAAGAAGGGGAGGAAGAGAATGAGAAGATAGAGATCACTCTTCACCTGTTATGACAACTGAGTTATTTTTGTTCATATCTATTTTGTATTTGTGACTTCTTACAAGAAAGATGTCAGATGACTGTGATGAAATAGCCATGTGCTTCTTGTGGTGTGTGTGTGTGTGTGTGTGTGTGTATGTGTGTGTGTGACTGTTCTGATTGACATGGCTCTATCATGTCATGCAGCAGAGTCTATTGGAGGTTGACTTTAATTCCTTCTTTGGCTCTGCTGAAGTGGCTTTCCTACTTCTCCTGAGTCAGCAGTATGTATTTAGAATTAGAAGGAGCAGGATTAGCTCACAAACAAAACAGCCCATCCCCGCCTAATAACACAGCTTAGTAATAACAAGAGCAAGCAATCTGGGAAGGCCACTCCCCTTCAGAAATCTCAGGACATCTAAATTGGGAGTTGGTAATCTTGTAAACAAATTCAAATTACCTTCCAGAAAAACCCCAAACTACTTGTTTGAGATGGTTTTTGGCTAGAAGACGTGAATCCAGAACAAAATCAAAAGCCACATAAATACTAAAATAGCCAAAACAGAGACACAGTCATTACAGGAAACTCGGGAAGCTTCAAAGGAGGTTTTAAAAAAGGAAAAACTGCAGCCAGAGGCGCTGCGGGCATTGCCCGTCTGTACTGGAAGTGTCGACATCCTCTGCAGAGGAAGAGGAAGGAGTTAGAGGTGCCAAACAAGCAGCTGGACAATGACAAAACAGGAAACAGGACTGCTGATGACAGTGCACCTCAAACCAGGAAGAACAAAACATCAAAGCCACTGGGCCAATGAAGACTCTGGCAAGGACAAAGTGAAAGCCACGAGGTTCCGAATCAACTGTGAGCCACATACACATGGGCTAGTGGGTAGCCATATCTCCATTTTCCTGTTGAAATGATCCAGAAAGAGGCTGAGTCCCATTGTGATCATTCCAGGAATAGACTATTGTATTATGTCAGATCAGACATTGTGTTAAAGAGAGCCATTCAAATGTGAGTGAACATTGTTGTCCATGTCTCAGCATGGTGCTGGTTAATGGTTAATGGTTAAAGGTAATATTTAATGTGTTTGTTCATGTCACTTTATGGAAAACATAATGTAATCCCAATGTTAAAGGGCCAAGACAGAACACGATGTAAGAAATGAATTTAGCAGTCTTCCCACAGAGCCCACGATCTAAGCCCACCTCTCACCCCATCTTGCCTACACATCCCCATAGAGCTGTTAGATGGATATGTGACATTCTCCTGAACATACTTCTATCCTGTTTCTATTCAAATCTGTTCCACTAACCAGGATCCCTGTTACTTTCCCTTGCCAAACTTTGCAGGGAGACACAGCAGCTAAACACGCAGAATTGAAGAGCCACCCAAGAACCTGGAAAGTAGTGTAGGCTAATAAATCCTGGGAAGGAGGAACACTGAGTGAAGTGGGCCAGTACAGAGAAGAGCCCTTCATCAGAGGGATAAACAGATGACACCAGGGAACAGTTTTACTAAACATCTCAGAAAGTCAGTAACAAAATCTTTTGGCCAGAAGAAGGGTTACCACCAAGCTACTACTTAGGAGTATAGCAATATTGGGGGCAGACTACCTTACCAATAATCAAACGCAACTGTTACTGTTGTTATTAATTAATGACTTGAGGTAGTTAAGTGATTCTTGGTTTGCTTTCTATCACTGTAGTAAATGTCATGGCCAAAAGCAACTTGGGGAAGAAAGAGTTTATTTAGCTTACTCTCCCATGTCACAGTCCATCATTGAGAGATGTAAGGACAGGAATCTGGAGGCAGGAGTTGAAGCAGAGACCATGGAGGTCACCACTTACTGGCTTGCTATACATAGCTCCTCAGATACTTTTTTATACAACTCAGAACCACCTGCCCAGGGGCGGCACTGCCCACAATGTCCTGGGACCTCGCACATCAATCATTAATCAAGAAAAGGCCCCACAGACTTCCCTCCAGGTGGGTCTGATGCAGGCATTTTCATCACTGAGTTTCCCTCCTCCAGATGACTGTAGATTGTGTCAAGTTGAACAAAATAACCCAGTGCAAGTGATTTATTTAAGGTCATATTATATATTTCAAATTCCTCTCAATCTTATTTTACCCAGGACCGATTTGGATTCTCCCCAACTCTGTGTAACCCCACTGCTCAGTCATGTCCCTCTGGAAAAGCTGACTGAACATGGTCAGAAGATTCAGAATTTCAAATGCATAGGAAGGCTGACAAATACTCATGGGTAAGGTCTACTCAAAGTGCCAAGGGGTTCTCTCAGTGCACATTGCCATGTAAGAGACAAATGGGAATGCACATTGTGTGGCCACAGTGGAAGCACATTCTTAGTATTTGAAGAAAATCCAGAAATGTTTTAACATTTTTATGCTATTGCTCATGTCAAAATGCCTTCTGGAAGAAGACCATTGAGGGCTGATCAGCTGACAGCTTAGTTCCACGTAGAACCAAGATGTCCAGATGGCTATAACTTAATTTGATTTAAACTAAGGGGGCTCAGGTGTATATACAATAAGATACTTGTCATGTCATGTTACATGTTAGACAATAAAGTGATATAAATACTTAAAATATTTAACAAAACTCACCTAGAATGTAACATTTTACCTAATCAGATACTATTATAATGGTATTATTTTTTATTTTTGTTCAGTGCTCAGAGTTGAACCCAGGGCCTAGTGCTTGCTTAGCAAGTATCCTACCACTGAGCCACACCCCAGGTTGTGAGTCAATTTAAACAGTACACATTCCTTTGAGGGAGGGTGCTCTGTTCCTGGAGTTACTGCAGTATCAGGTTGATTCATGGAGCAGACAAAGCAAGTTCCTATTCTACCTCCTATTTCCAAGGAATCAGTTTAATATATTATCCCTAGATAGAGGACATATCAAATACTAAACTGGTAAAAACAGATAACATTTTTCCCTGTAGGCATATTACAGAGAAGTGACCCCAAACTCACAAGCTCTTGCTTACTTGCTTGTTTTTTAAGACAGGGTTTCTCTGTGTAACAGCCCTGCCTGTCCTGGAACTCACTCTGTAGACCAGGCTGGCTTCAAACGCACAGAGATCCACCTGCCTCTGCCTCTGCCTCTGCCTCTGCCTCTGCCTCTGCCTCTGCCTCTGCCTCTGCCTCTGCCTCTGCCTCTGCCTCTGCCTCTGCCTCTGCCTCTGCCTCTGCCTCTGCCTCTGCTTCTCGAGTGCTGGGATTAAAGGTATGCGCCACTACACCTGGCTTCACAAGATTCTTAAAAATCTAAAGAATAGCTAAAAATCTTCAAAAGAAGAATCAAATCATTTTGCCTGACAATATTCTGTTTATACTTCTTTATTTTTCTGAGCGTTTTGGATGAAATGGACTCCTAGCTGCCGTCACATCCATGTTCTTCCTCATCTCTAACAGAAATCTAGTTTTCGGCTGGGCACAGTGTCAAGCTGTGGTGAGATAATGGGTGGGGTGTGACCCCAGCTCCAGAGGACATCCCAGGAGTGGCTCATGTTGGGTTGTCTCTCTCCAGGCACTTTGTATCCGAGAAAACAAACATATCTCAAATTCAGACTTCTTACTTCTGACTCCAGGGACTTAGAGTTTAGGTTTTTTTTTTTTTTTTTTTTTTTTTTTTTTTTTTTTTTTTTTTGGGGAGGAAAAACTCAGTCCCAGTCCCAACTCTTCTGGAAGGAGCTCAGCTTGAAGCAATAGACTTAGTTATTATCTTCGATTCTTTCAAAAACTCCAATGATGTTTATTTAATATTCTATTTTTAGCTTCAGGACTCTTGATTTTGCTAAAATAGACAAGAGTGGAAAAAATGACCCAATATTTCTTTAGTTCCTAGATGTTCATTCCTTCCACCCTTTCTTTCTCTCTCCTTCCCCCCCTACACACACACACACACACACACACACCTTCCCTAAGTAATATCCAACAGTGATATGTTTCTTCTTGGTCAGAATATTTTTTCCACATATTCATATTCTATTTTGAGTTAATAACATCCATCTCATATGATTCTTGTGATAAGTTCATGGAGTAAGCAAAACAAGGGCAAGTATTTCCATTTCCTCCAAGTAGAAACTGGATTTTCACCCTCGTAACATCACTTTGAGGTATATGGGACCATTATTATCATCCCTAATAGGCATAAATGAGAATCATGGATGCCCACATCATCTGGTCCAATGCCTTTAATACAAGTTGGCTTTCAATAGGGACTTGTGGGCTGGGTGGCTGTGTGCCAAGGCCAGCGAGTGAACAAGGAACATGGAAGTTAAAGGAGGTATCAGAGTCACAACATTGGAATTAAAATTAGGGTTTGCTCGCTCCTATTTCAATTCTTTTTCCATTACTCCACCTTGCCACTCCCTCAAATTCATTCTCCAATTTGTTGAGTTGTCCACTGTGGGTGTGGTGTTGGTGAAAGGCAGTTTTCAGAGCATAGGCCGCAGTGAACTTGAGCTGCTGTCCTAGCACAGCACTGCACACATCACAAAGAGGATTGCTTTCGCTGGCAGCTCTCCTAACCCTCACATGCTAATGCTGTGCCAACAGTCATTGTCTTTGACAAGTGACTATGCTGGCAGTGTAGGGTCCCCTCAGTCTTTCACACAGCCAGCCAGCATTGCAGCTCTGTCCCTTGCTTTGCTTTATACCCTTGCTGGGCCAGGAAACTCAGGAAAATGTTTCAGGAGGCCTTGTGCCACGGTCACTGTTTAAACTGTTTATAACAGTTTAAATGTTTGAACTAAGAAGCATAATGACCTTGAACCCTAACGTTTAGAACCTGTTTTTTCTTCTGAAAGAGCTGGGAAATGAGGAGTCATGAGAAAAGCCTGGAACAATCTGACCTTGCACTGCTCTATAGGATGGCTAGACCGCACAGTTGTTGTTTGCTAAGACAAATATTAAAATCTAAGTTGGTAGCATATAAGACAGTCCATAACAAGGTCCTATTGTGGGCAGTAAACTACTGGACAATATTCTAAGCCTACTGTTCACTAGACGTGTGATTTCAGAGAAAATAATTATCCTCTTTGAACCTCAATTTTTATTAGTGTATATTAACAGTATGATAGTTATTTCATTATAAAATTTTCACAGATATATGTGTTTGATAATAGTTACTCCCATAGTTACCCTCCCATTTACTGGTTCCTCCCCCCCTCTCTCCTTTCTTTTCTAGTGATATATGAGAAAACATGAGACTTGCTCTGATTCTGACTGATTTCAGTTAATGTGATGATTCTTGGTTTTATGGTTCTATTCACTTTCCTAAAAACAGGTGGTGTGTGTGTGTGTGTGTGTGTGTGCGTGTGTGTACCATGTTTCCTTTATTCATCCACCCATTGGTAAGCAATTAGACTGAATCAGTAACTTGGCACTAATGGAAGACTTTGTGGGAGAGGGAAGGGGAGGAAGGGGGGAAGGAGAGAGATTCTATCCAAGTCTAGCTTAAGGAACCAACCAATGAATGGGCAATGCACTGGAGAGCTGCTTTTCAAGTGAAGAGGTACAGTGGCCAATAAGTGCATGAGAAAATGTGGGGAATCCTTAGTCATCACAGAAATTTAAATCAAAACTACCTTGTGATCCTGTCAGACTGGTGGCCACTCAAAAATTAAAAACCATGGATAATAATGAGAGTTTGGGAGAAAGGAACCCCTACATAATGTTGGCGGGAAGGCAAATTGGTACAACCACCTTGAAACTGTTCTGGAGATTCTACAAAACACCCAAACCCAGAATTTCCATAAGATTCAACTATCCCACTTCTGGGTCTATACACTGCTGTGCAGCTATTGCCCTCAGAATGGATACACAAGGATACTTCTAAGACACAGGTAGCTCATGAAAACATAAAAAGCAAGGAACTTATGAAAGTTACAAGACGACAGGCACATGGGTGACCCAAGGGCAGCTAGTCACCTCCTTGAAATTTTATCCTAACATGGGTAAGGATGCTTGAAAACTGTCCCAAGAGTTCCCTGTCCAACTTACAGGCAGCTCTACTGAAGAGTCTCCTCTTCCACAGCCATTGGTTTCTGTGTATGTAACCTTGGGGAGGGCCTTGGGAACCCTCTAACTTCTGAGTAGTATAAATTCAGCATTCCTTCCTTGTTCAAGCTTCCTTTAGCTAACCAGGGCCTTTGTCTTTCCAGATGAGGCTTAGGAATATTATTTTTTTTCCTGTTAAAAATTTCACTGGGATTTTGATGGGACTTCTATTGAATCTGTAGATCTGTTTACTAATACAGCTATTTCTCAATATTAGTTTTGCCGATCCCAGGGTGTAGAAGGATTTCTATCTTCTAAAGTCTTTTTCAACTTATTTCTTCAATGTTCTATAGCTTTCATTATAGAGGCCTTTCAGCTCTTTGGTTAAGTTTATTCCTAAGTATTTAGGGAAGGAGAAGCTATTTCAAATGGGTTCTTTTCATATATATATATATTAAACAGGGTCTCATGTAGCACACAGTGGTCTTGAACTTCTGAACTTGATGTATAGCTGAACTCTTGATCTTCCTTCCTGCCTTCACCTGTCAATACCTAAGCTCAGATTCTAGGCATATGTCGCCAACTTGCTCCCAATTTATCTTTCTTTCTTTTTTTCTTTCTTTCTTTCTTTCCTTCCTTCCTTCCTTCCTTCGTTCTTTCTTTTTTGTTCATTCTTTTGTTCTTCGTCCCTTCCTTTCTTCCTTTCTTTCTTTTTCTTTTTTATCAGTATTGATTTTAGTGTACAGAAAACTAGTGGTTTTTTTGTATGTTTACTTTCTGTTCTGTTCCTTTGCTGAAAATGTTTATTAGATTTAAAAAAAAAAACAAACTTCTATTGCTGTCTTTAGGATCCTTTCAGTAAGGAAACATGATGTGCAAACAAGGGAGAGTTTGGCTCCTTCCTTCCCTGTCTGGATCCCTTGGAGTGCTTCCCCTTTCCTTATTGCTCTGGGTGTGATTTCAGTAGGACACTGAATAAAAGTGGTGATACTCAACAGCCTTGCTTCTATTTTACATTAGAAGCATTATTTTCAGCTTTTTCCCATCCAATATAATTTTGGCTACAGGTTTGTTGTGCATGTCATTTATTATGCTGTTTATGATCCTTTATTCCCACTTTTTCCCAATATTTTACCATGAAGACTTGCTGAACTTCGTTAGAGATTCTTTTTTCTGTATTGACTGAAGGGATTGTGTGATTTTTGTCCTTTATTCTATTATGTGCCGTGCTACATTTATTGATTTGCATAGGTTGAGACATCCTTGCTTTCCTGGAATCGATCCAGCTTGTTAATAGTGTGTGATCTTATTTTTAATGTGTTATTGAAGTCAGCTTGCAAGTATTTTATTGATATGCTTGCATCTCTGTTCATCAAGACTATAGTTTGTTGTGTCCTTACCCAGTTTCAGTGTCGGGAAAATGATGGCTTTGTAGAATGAACTGAAAACATTCTTTCCTGTTCTACTTCACGGCATATTTTGAAGAGCCTTTGCATTAATTCTTTAAAGACTGGGCAGAACTCAACACTGATTCTATCTGGTCTTGGCCTTTTCTTTTGGGGAAACCTTTTCATTGGTGCTTCAATCTTATTGCTTATTAATTGATATATTTATAGATAAAAAGTCTTGATTCAATTGTGGTAGATTGTATATCTATAGAAATACATCCATTTATTCTGGATTTTCCAATTCATTGCAATATCATTTTAGAAAACATTACATAATGCATTTCAGGAGTATGTGTGGTAATATCCCCATTATTTTATGTTTAATATTATTAGACTGAGTCTTCTCTGTCTTCCTTTTGGTTGGTTTGCCTAAGGACATGAAAATCTTCTTTATCCTTTCAAAGAAACAAAACTTGTTTTATTGATCCTTTGTATTCTTCTTTTAGCTCCTATTTCATTAATGATCTTTATTATTTCCTATTTCTTGTTTTGATATAATATTTAAGGGTAT